CCCCAGACGCCAACCCCTTTAGACAGCGTAATACTGTGTGAATAAACCTTAACTGGGACTAGCAGTACCTAAATGCCCAGCAGGCAAAACAGCGGTATTCCAGCTGTAGTGGATCCAGGTTGAAAATGTTCCAGTGATTATACTGTCCATTAAAACACGATATATTGAGCGATTCATTTTTTAATGTGAATAGTTAAGCACATGAACATGCAGACCTGTTTGAAATTTCTTTTTCACTATTATGCATCATCATCATACCACCTGAAGGGTATTGTACCTGTGGTATATTTCAGGAGTAGGGTGAAACAATTGCCAACTCAATGCACCCCCTTACTGAGTTTGGAAGGGACCACCTTACAACTCTACTAGTCACAGAACCTGATAAAGTGTCAGTAACGACTGGTCTCCCATGCCAGTTAGAGCCAGAGTCAAGTCTGCTCAGCTTAATACCTCTGCCATGCACAGTGCATATCACACTAGAGTAGTCTCATCTCTGACTCCAGAGATGGACCAGAATAAATATACTGCAGCACAAAGATAGGAACAGAAGAAGGCTAGATGGATAGTACAACATAAATTTTTTCCTAATATTTCCTAGGTTCATAATCAAATCCAGCTAGTATAGAAGTACACAAGTGTGTTTACCCCTGCTCTGAATGGCAAACTGGCTCTGCATGAAAATGTATAGATGACTTTGCCAGAATAGATTAACCTGTGACTTGAAACACTGATCCAGGAGTTTTGTCCACTGAAATATTATTGTATAATAGCTTTGTGACAGCCAGAATCCTAGCAGGGGGGAAATCTCGACCGCCGTGGGTGGAGGAGGGGACCGCGAGCTGGCGCACCCTCCTCTCGCACGTCTGGTGCCGGTGGCTCTTGAAGGAGCCGGCCACATGCGCGAGCGGGTCCGACTGCGAGTAACCACGGGCGGCGCCCGGCTCACACCGGAGCTCGGTGAGTCAGGAGGCAGCCAAACGGCTAGTCTCCTGACACCCCGAGTGACAGTACTCGCAGCCCGCGAAGGGCGCTGGAAAGTGGGGGGAGGAGGGTGAAACACAAAGGGGAGCAAAGTAAAAAATACCCCCAGGAAACCCCCACCATGACAGGAAAACATCCCCAAAGTAACAGGGGAAGTCAAGAAGTGTCAAACGGACATGAAAACCAATTAAATCTAATAAGTATCTATAATAAAAATATAATATAGAAACATAGAATGTGACGGCAGATACGAACCATTTGGCCCATCTAGCCTGCCCAATTTTCTACATACTTTCATTAGTCCCTGGCCTTATCTTATAGTTAGGATAGCCTTATGCCTATCCCATGCATGCTTAAACTCCTTTACTGTGTTAACCTCTACCACTTCAGCTGGAAGACTATTCCATGCATCCACTACCCTCTCAGTAAAGTAGTACTTCCTGATATTATTTTAAACCTTTGCCCCTCTAATTTAACACTATGTCCTCTTGTTGTGGTAGTTTTTCTTCTTTTAAATATGGTCTCCTCCTTTATTGTGTTGATTCCCTTTATGTATTTAAATGTTTCTATCATATCCCCCCTGTCTCGTCTTTCCTCCAGGCTTATATAATATAAAAATAAATATATAATATGAAACTAAATATAATGTATATATAAAATATGAAAAAACTAAATATAATATATATATATATATAAAACAAATATATATAATATGAAAAAAACTAAATATAATGTATAAAATATAACATGACAACAAAATATAATGAATATAAGTCATGACTAACTCCCAAAGCCACCAACGATAAGCAGGAGGCAGTGGTACTCTGACCTGTACTGATGTGGAGCAGCAAAGAAAGAGGAAATGACATGGGGAGGGGAGTTTTATAGTACCTAACTTTTTTCTGATTGGTTGTTTTCTGTGCTGCTGTGGAGTTCTAGTAAAGAGAGACTAAAGGAAATACAAAGCCTCCTGTCATGTTAAAAAATTACATTTTATTTTTAGTCATATTGTTTAAGTTGACTGAATCTCAAACATTTTTGTCGACTAAAATTGTTAGTTGACAAAATTAACACTGTTGGCTCGTAAGTGAGGATCCCTCAAACTGACGGGACAACCAAGTCTCAGAGAGCACGTCTATGTTTGGGGGACTTCCTTGAACAAAACCAGCAATCTAGTGAGGGGATTTTTCCAGAGACTCAGGGGATTGCCAGCACTAGAGAGCTGGACGTAGGTCTGAGCAGTCGATAAGCAAGTATGTGGTTAAGTGAGGAGTACCTGTATCAGGAGCAAACAATGTTATAGATAGTGATGTCGCGAACATAAGATTTTCGGTTCGCGAACGGCGAACGCGAATTTCGGCAAATGTTCGCGAACCGGGCGAACCGCCATAGACTTCAATAGACAGGCGAATTTTAAAACACACAAGATGTTTCAAGGGGACTAACACCTGGACTGTGGCATGCAAACTCCGATCCGCGGCTGCATCTTGCAGCAGCTTAGTAGATAACTCCCTAATTCCCACGGTATTAGGGAGTTATCTACTAAAAGGCTGAAAGACCTAAATTGGTCTTTCAGCCACATTTACTAATACGAAGTAAAGATTACTTAGTATTAGTAAATGATCTGCCCCTACTCGCTATGCAGCGAGTAGGGGCATGTCTAGTAAGCAGTGAGCAGCCAGTGGCTGCTCACTGTAAAAAAAAAACAAACAAAAAAAACAAAACTATTGGCTCCCACCCCTGTGCAACGGGTGGGGGCCATTAATTACAATGGGGGGAGGCCCTACTGTCCTCCCCCCCGGCCCCCACCCCTGCACGGTGGGTGGGGGCCATAAAAATAATGAGGGG